AAGATTGGCTAAGAATTTTCTCTGTGCCAAGGGCCGTGCTCATTCCTGTAGGTACAAAGAGAACAAGCCTTATATTCTAGAGAAAGGACCAGTCTAGGTTGTTGGGAGTGGCAGAAGTGACCAAAGGAAGAAAATGTAGAAGAAAAAGGAGAGAGCTAAGAACAGTACTAGAGGGCCAGAGATATAGGAGAGTTGATAGGGCATTTGCCCTTTATGCAGCCTACCCAGGTGAACATCCCACAAGGTCCCCCCAAGCCTGTCAGAAGTGATTCCTGAGTGCAGAGCAGAAATAACCCCTGAGCATCGCCAGGTGTAGCCAAAGCAAAATGAAAGAACAGTATTAGAGCACTTTCTCAGTAATTCCAAGGACTTGATGAAGACAGCCTGAGATGTGAGCATGTAAGGTAGATAAGGGAAGGGATATGACCAGGACCTACTGGGATAAGACTGGGAATATAGGGATATGGAATCAATCACGCTGTCCATTGACAGATGGATGGATTATGAAGATGTGGAATATATACACAAAGAGTACTGTGTAGCTGCATGAGTGATGAAATCATGCAATTTGCTACAATCTGGTTGGAACTAGAACATATCATGTTGAATGAAACAACCCAGGAAAAGAAAGAGAAAGACAGAATGATTTATCTGTGGTATAGAGAACACTGGATGCGGAAATGTACTGTAGTAAAAGAGTATGCCTAGATCCCCCTTAACCCTGTGTTTAGAGAGGACAACAAAGGGAAAAAATCAAAGTGGGAAGAAGAGAACAGGAAGTAATGGGTGAACAGGCCTCAGGGCTTCGGTTATACAGGCGATATGGGTGAATGATAGAGCTATATATCCAAAACACAGACTCAGCAACATTGAATACATTGAATGCATAAGCTGCAACCACTGGAACTTTGTAACGCACCTGTCAAGTTGACAGGTGGGATGGGGTTGGGAGTGGGGAAGAAATATGAGAACACTGATGGAGGGAAGTTGACACTGGTGGTGGGAATTAGTATTGAAATATTATAAGCCTAAAACTCAGCTATCAACTTTGTAAATCACAATTCTTTAATTAAATTTTTTGAAGTTATTAAAATAAAAAAGATGAAGAATGTGGGGTTTGGCTGTCAGATGGAATCTGCAGGGAGGGTGCAACCTGCAGAGCAGTGAACAATGCCTCCAAAGTGGAGGGACGTTTGGTATCCAAGGGAGCTGGTGAGGGGGACACTAACAGGAAACTTATGTCACCATGTCAAGTAGGGACTGACTTTTCCATAGTTGATATTTCTGCCCATCTAGAACTGGATTCTGATTAGCAGTTGAAGTTTAGGGCGCTAGGTCCAGTCTTGACAAGATTTAGCCAGAGCTAAGCCGTAGTGACAGTACAGTGGGTAGGGTGTTAGCCTTGCATGCAGCCAACCCCGGTTCTTTCCCCACCACACCCCATATGGTCCTCTGAGGCCACCAGGTGCGCCCACTTAGCACAGAGCCAGATAGAAGATATAAAGTTATAGCACTATAGCACTGTTCTCCTGTTGTTCATAGATTTTCTCAGTAATGTCTCACAACAAATTGTGAGGCTTGTTTTTACTGTTTTTGGCATATCAAATACGTCATGGGGACCTTGCCAGACTTTGCCATGCAGGTGAGATACTCTTGGTAGCGTGCTGGGCTCTCCAAGAGGGGCGGAGGAATTGAATCCAGATCGGCAAGGCAGATGCCCTAACCACTGTGCTATCATTCCAACCCATATAAATTATAGATGTAGCTCAATAGAAATATGTGATTGGAGATGAGGGGAAAGAAAATAGACACACGAGGCCGGAGGGATAGTATAGGGGGTAAGGTGCTTGCCTTGCATGCGTTTAACTAGAGTTCAATTCCTGACACTCCATATGGTTCTTGGAGCACTTCCAGTGATCCCTGAGTGCAGAGCCAGGAGCAAGCCCTAAGTACTGCCAGATGAGCTCTCTCCCCTCAAAATAGAGATTTGGGGATATTTGAGTGAACTAGCATCTGGAAGAAGTAGGGGAGGGGAGGTCTCAAAGGCAGAACAAAGTTCTACAAAGAGGAGGGATACTCTGCTGCCCAGTTTTTGTACAAAGTAACCGACACATGGCATTGTGAATGTAATATATTTGTAATATATTGTTTTCATCATCATCAAAATGCAACACCACTAGAGAAATTTTGGAAAATAGAAACACAAACCTACCATATTAAAACAATAACTATTATTATCTTTGTATATTTTTCTTCCACAATAATCTAAACATAGAGGTTTCACAGAGTTTTTATCAAAGGACATACATTCTTACAACTTGCATTTGTCAGTTAACACTATAGCACGTAGTCTTTGTGACTATGTACATTAATTTTTCGTGAAGTAATGCAATAATTTATTTCCACTTCAGTTGTTCTAAAAATGGATATAAGTAGGGCTGTAATAATATTCACTGTCCTCCCGTTGTTCATCAGTTTTCTCAAGTGGTTCCAGTAACATTTCCATTGTGGGACTTTTTGTTACTGTGTTTGGCATATCGAATACATCATGAGTAGCTTGCCAGGCTTTGCCATGTGGGTGAGATACTCTCGTTAGCTTGCCGGGCTCTCCGAGAGGGGCAGAGGAATTGAACCTGGCTCACTAGGCAGGTGGCTTGCAAGGCAAACACCCAACCCACTGTGCTATTGCTCCAGCCCATTATTCACTATTAAATCGCCATTATTCACTATCAAATATATTTCATATTTTTGCTTTCAGCTGGATTCACAGAGCCATGTTATTGAGTCAGAGTCTCAAGAGGCTTCTTATGTTATCTTTTGGGTGCTTTTGCCTCAAAATTTCTAGTTGTTCTGTCATGATCATTAAAGTGACTCTCCCCTTTCCTAAGTTTTCTAAGTTGAAATATTTGTGACTCACTATAGTAAAGACCATCTTAGTAAACTCTCACAGTATTTCCCAAGTCAGTGATTTCTAACATAGCTTTTGACTCTTAAAATTCCTAAGAAGGAGGGACTGGAGTGATAGTACAGTGGGCAGGGCATTTTCCTTGCACGCAGCCGACCTGGGTTCAATCTCCAGTATCCCATATGGTCCCCCAAGCACCACTAGGAGTAATTCCTGAGTGCAGAGCCAGGAGTAACCACTGAACATCGCTGCGTGTGACCCAAAAAGAAAAAAATCCCTAAGAGAGGTCAGGAGACCTGGTACCATAGAAGAATGTAAGTTTCCCAGGCTGCTGTGTTGTGCAGACACTGCTTATAACTTTATTATAAAATAGTCATGGTCACAGTTCTCCTGTTCATCGATTTGCTCAAGCGGGCCCAGTAACGTCTCCATCGTGAGACTTCTTATTATTGTGTTTGGCATATTGAATACGTCACGGGGAGCTTGCCAGGCTCTGCCCTGCAGGCAAGATACTCTCGGTAGCTAGCCGGGCTCTCCGAGAGGGGCGGAGGAATCAAACTCGGGTCGGCCATGTTGGCCGCGTGCAAGGCAAACGCCCTACCCACTGTACTATCACTCCAGCCCAACTTTATTATAAAAAACCTTGCCAACACCTTTTGCCTACTCTCTTCATCCTCCTCCTAGTAAGCTCCCAAGGGCTACAATGAGGCGAAAGATGACTGAGGGAAGAATGATGCCATTTCTCTGAGCTGGGGCTCTCTTCTTAGTGAGGTTCAACTCAGGAAGCCTCCTCCTCCTCCTCCTCCTTCATCCCACTGCACACACCTCAGGGCATTGGCCACACTTCAAAGGCAGCCCCGTGGGTGAAGAAAACACGAGATAAAGGCACAAGGATGATAAGGTGACCATAAAATTTTTAAAAAAAAAAACCAACTTTGTTGGCATTATCACTTATCGCTCATTCTCAAATATGAGCATGAAGTGGATAATCCTGTTTCTGTGTCTTTTTTAAAAGAAAAATACCTATTAAGGAATTGTGCAATCCTTTACACCTTACCATGCTGTGTTTGGCATTAAAAAGCTGTCAGGGCTGCCTTGTACTTTGGAAGGGTACAAGGGCTGAGGCACGGGCAAGTCTGAGCTGGTTCACTCATAGGGTGGCAGAGTCTGGCCCTTCTGGACAGATCTTACCCCCACCCCCAACCAGAGCAAGCTGCCCTTTAATGACCCCATTATCCTACTTTGAGGCCAGAGATCTCGCAAGTGCACATTAGAAGACAGAGTCTCAAAAAGAAAGGGGGGCTGGAGCGATAGCACAGCGGGCAGGGTGTTTGCCTTGCACGCGGCTGACCCGGGTTCGATTCCCAGTATCCCATATGGTCCCCTGAGCACCACCAGGAGTAACTCCTGAGTGCAGAGCCAGGAGTAATCCCTGTGCATTGCTAGGTGTGACCCAAAAATTAAAAAATAAAAAGAAAGAAAGGGAAGCTAGACACTCTTACTGTTGTTCACAGCAAAGCCACACATCCTTGGGGATAAAGAACTTACTGTGTGCATTCACAGAAGTATTCTGAAACACACCTTCATAAGGGACTCTGTGCTCTGACAGATGAATCAAAAGTGCCAGGTGAAGTTACCAGCCTTCCAGCTGGCTGAAGCTATCAGAAAACTGGCAAATTTATCACAGAACTTTGTTAGGTTAGTTTTGTTTTTTGGGCCACACTCTGGTAGTGCTCAGGGCTGACTCCTGGCTTACACTCGAGGTGTAAGCTTACACTCCTGGCTGGGCTCTGGGAACCATATGGGGTGTTGGGAATCAAACCCAGGTCAGCTGTGTAGCAAGGCAAGTACCCTGCCCTCTGTGCTACCACTGAATTCCACTCATACAAGGTATGTAAAGTGATAACCAGTAATGAAATGTAAATATTTTTAAAATACTCTTGTACAAATTGATATCCAATAAATGAGGTGGTGGTTGAGTAATTATCAGTGGCCACATTCTTGATACTGCCTAGTCTTTTAGTCGAGGGCTGAAGAGGTGAATGCAGATGTAGGTCTCTTGCAGATTTAAGGATTGTGCTGTTTGTCCCTGCAGATGTCATCGAGGACAAATCCTGTAAGGATAACTGTACCTGCTCCTCCTGCTCACTCCGCACCCCCACCATCAGTGACTTGCTCAATGATCAGGATTTACTGGATGTGATCAGGATAAAGCTGGATCCGTGTCACCCAACAGTAAAAAACTGGAGAAATTTTGCAAGCAAATGGGGCATGCCATATGATGAACTGTGTTTCTTGGAGCAGAGGCCTCAGAGCCCTACCCTGGAGTTCTTACTTCGGAACAGTCAGAGGACAGTGGGCCAGCTGATGGAGCTGTGCAGGCTCTACCACAGGGTTGACGTCGAGAAAGTCCTGAGCAGGTGGGTGGAAGAGGAGTGGCCAAAGAGGGGGCACGGCGACCACGCAAGGAACTTCTAGGGCTTTCCTCTTTCTTATTCACCTCTTTGGACCTGGAATGACCACAGGTGAAGGAGGAATATGAATTGTTTTCTTTGTTCTAAGAGTTTAGGCTGAAGACATGAACAGTGGACATTGGTTTTTCCCAAAGTTAGTAGTTTTGCGAATGGGGTAGGTTGTGTTTTGGTGGTGGATTTTTATTTGTTTTGTTTTGCACAACTGTTTTAATTTAATGTTAGAATCTGTAATTGAGGAAAATATCTGGGAGCCTCATGGCTTACCTACAGAGTAGGGCAACAGCCTCTCATCAGGATGGATTCATGCCAGAATGCAATGAAAGTGTTCACTCCTGTAAACGTTGCTGAAAGTGGATCTAGGAAGGACTGTGGTTGATGACGCCAAACAAGCATCGTTGACAAGATCCTTCATCATCAAGTGTTCCCATGACTTATAAGAAAACAACTGAATGATGCCATATTGTTTGTCTGCCTTTACTTTTTTTGTTAAAAAGTATTTGGGTAAATTAACAGGATATTGGTATTATTGTGATGACCCCCTTTACCACATTTGTGCTATCTTTTTTTCATTCAGTATTTTCATAATCTATGTTCTATCAAGAATGTCATTTTCTCAAGTATCTTTAAAAGTAGTCGACGGTCAATGGTTATTGGGAGGGTGGGGTCCAGTATCATTAGGTAATAAGAACTGTAGGAAGGGACTCAAACTGTTCCTTTGGTTACTTATGACTTTTTAAAAATTAAAATACTTGCATTTAGGCATTTCATATAAGGTTGAGTCTTCCATTCTCTGAGATGAAGTTAAGAAAATGATCACCATAGGTGAACTCTTGATAACCCACTATCAGGATAACACTACACAGTGGATTAGCCAAATTGGGGGGCTTTTATAGTAATGCTGGGAGGGAAACTGTAATATATGATTTTTTAAGTATTATTAACGATCTTCTTTCATGGTTTAGAAGAAGGAAAAGTGTGGGGATGGGAAAGTTTGTTTATGCAGAGACAAGACCTGTTTGCTTTTCAACAGAGAGCTCTGTGTGACAATTTCATGAAAAGCACTTTGGTTTTGGCTATGGGATAAGAAAACTAAAGCATTTCATTCCATTGCAAAGATTTTATATAAATCCATGACTAAAGTTAACAGGGAAAGATTGGGTTAACAAATAACATTAAAGATTAAGAAAATTTCTTTTAAAAGTTATATTTTATTATTATTTTTCCAATGTTACAGTTTTACTTGTAGATTGCTACACTGTAAAATCAGCTTTGCCATCAATGTAAACTCTAAACTAAAAACCTACGCTAAAGATTTACTCATCACTCCTGATTCAATGTGAATCACATCCAGCCCTTCCCAGCTAGCTAAATCTCACAGATAACTGGCAAATTTATCAATGATTTTTGTTTGTTGGTTTTGTTTTTTGTGTCACACTTGGTGAAGCTCAAAGCTGACTTCTGCCTCTACACTTAGGAATCATTATTGGTGGGGCTCAGAAACCAAATGGGGTTCTGGGAATCAAACCCAGGTCAGCCGTGTAGCCAGGCAACCACCCTGCCTGCTGTACTATCACTCCAGCCCACTCTCACAATGCATTTAAGTAGCCAGTAATAAAATGTAAATATTTTTTAAATAGACTCTTGTGCAAATTGATGTCCAGTGAATTGAGGTGGTGGTTGAATAATTATCGGTGGCCACTTCCGGGTACTGTAAAGACGAACTTTTAATGGGGTTCTACTCTTCTAGGAATTTTATTTTATATGCCATATTCTCATTAGGCTACCCATGACCAGTGTCAGACTTACTGTGGAAAAATATGAATGAGCATATGACCTTCATTGTTGACTGATCAGGGAAGCTGAACTGAATTGTATCTAGTCTGTTGGCACCGGACCTGCTACTGGGTGGTCATCACTCCCTTGTAATCTGCCACCGCCTTGGAACCTAAGAAGGGGCTTCCACGCTGACATGTACTGCTAACTGCCAGCTGCCTAAGTGCCGTCATTTTTGACGTCCCTCCCTTCCCAAGCTGTGGCAGAACTCCCTCCCCTCCCACCCACAATCTTCCCTTCTTCTCTTCCCCTTCCCGCATCTACCGGAAAACCTGTCACTTCATCTCAGCACAGGCTTGCAGGGCCCGTAACCAGTGTGGAGGCAGGAGGACACGGGATGGGCGAGGAAACACCCTTCCTGCTCCTCTTTCTTCCTCCCACACTCAGGCCTCCACCATCCACACAAAGAGAGACAGAAAGGACAGATGGCCTCTCCATTCTATCCCAGCCACTGGTCCCAGGGAGAGAGGATTGGAAGGGATTGGTCCTTATTTCCAGAGATCCCTTCCACCTCCAGCTGACAAAGGGCAGAAAAACAACTGGAAGAAAGGAAGGAGAGAGGATGGAAATCATACAACCCTCCCCACCCCTGTTGCTCCATGCACCCCCCTGGTCTTCTCCCAATTTCCTCACTCAGAAGAGCCCCCACCTCACTCTGTTGAGGGCATGGCAGACCAGAGTGCCACTCCTGGTGGCTCAGAACTACAGTTGAGAAGGAGGAGTGGGTGGGTGTGTGGACATTGAGCGTCTAATCCCCTCCCACAAGACCACAGCTACAAATTAAAAACAAAAACCATTTCTAGTTTCTAGTACCCCACATTTAAAATATGGGAAATGTGGTGGAAAACTTTCCATGGAAACACCCATAAAGAGTGATTAGGTTCCAGAGAACTCTGAGTTCTTAACTTCACAGATTTCAGAACTACACTCTTTGTTGGGGCTGACTTAAGAACACTGGCCCCTATTGGCACTGCTTCTGTGGGACATATCTCCAAGATTCCAAACTCTAAATTTCACTCTCAAAACTGACTTTGAACTTATCGTCATACTGATCTAGAACATGGCTACTGCTTAGAATTATCAGCTGAACTTACCTTGGAGTTAGATCAAAGGTGTTAAGACAGAATTTAAGCAAAGCTGAGTGTGTACCATTTTTTAAAATTCAGGAGTTACAGGGACACCACGTGACCACAGAGTTCCACCACTCATCTTTCCAGTTGGTATTATTTCCAGAGTCCTGATTGCTAATAATTTTACCAGAATATTTTTCAAGTTATGAAGACTGTATAGTAATATTTCATTGTGTTACATATATAAATATGTAATTTTTTTACTGAGATACAACTATAACTCAATTGTACAATAATCCAACTTTCTCTGAAGTTAATTTAGAATAAATACTGTAATAACAGAAATATGTTGATACTTTACAAAGACAAATGTGGAAAAGAAAAAGTTACCATTTGGTAAAATAATCAAATAATTATTCAACTTTGTGTTCATTAATACTTGGCTATACTCTCTCTAATACACATGGAGATCCCTGTTAAATTGACCCTTTGTAAATCAAACTGCTTCTGATGAGGTCCTTTTGCTATGAGAAGGATATCTCTAACTCAATTTAAATATAAGATCATTTACTCAAACTTCCCATCTGCTATATTACATGATAAGACTATATAATACACATTTTATTCAGTTGCAATTGAAATACAAGGAAATGGAAAGCAAATTTGCATTAGACAACATGCCTACCTAGGAGATATATCTGCAGAAGACTCTCATATGAGAGAGACACAAATAAAGCTTACATTATTTTGCCAGAATATTCAAGATAGTAATATTTATTAATTAGTTAGTATTCATATTTAAGATACCATCAATATTTAAGATAATCTGTACAAACAAGTAACCCATTTTGTGACCTTAAGTATTATTCAATAAGTAAAGTAAAGTAAAGGTCCTCCCGTTGATCATCAATTTGCTCGAGCGGGCCCAGTAACGTCTCCACTGGAGACTTTGTTGTTACTGTGTTTGGCATATCGAATACATCACGGGGAGCTTGCCAGGCTCTGCTGTGCGGGCGAGATACTCTCGGCAGCTTGCCGGGCTCTCCGAGAGGGGCGGAGGAATCGAACTCGGGTCGGCCATGTTGGCTGTGTGCAAGACAAACGCCCTACCGCTGTGCTATCGCTCCAGCCCAGTTTCAGTTATCATTCAATAACTGAAAATTTATAGTTATAGACAAATAATGCAACACCTCAATTTTAATAACAGCTTAAAAAATTGTTTTGGGAAATCAGAGAAACAGTACAGGGGAAAGGTACTTGCCTTGAGTATGGTTGACCCCAGTTCAATCCCCAACACTACATATGGTCTCCTGAGAATGGAGCCAGAAATAGTCCCTGAGCACCACTAGGTGTGCCCCTTCTTTTCTTCTCCTTAAGCTTCCTCAGTAATGCTGGGAGCCACCAGGACTACACAATCTGGTGGTGCTTGGGAAGCCATGCAATGCTAGGGAATTAAAACCTGGATCCAATGTATGCTATATATACACGCTGCCCCTTGATCCAGTAGCAAAATTTTATGTGGTACTGCCCTCTGCTGGAGCAAAAAAAAAACCTACACACACACACACACACACACACACACACACACGTGCACATGCATATTCATACATACACTTTCTTTTTACTTGCTTGTTTGAGACAAGCATAAAGCCACCTTCTATTACTTATTGATTGTTAGAACAAATAAGGACACTTAACTACTGGTAAGGGATGAGTACAATTATATTAGCAATTGACAAACAAACAGAATGTGTCTGGCTAATTTTGAATGCAGGTTCTAGTTCCCTGTATGTGCCCGCCCTACATTGTCCTCATGCAGATCAAATGGGTGACCATTCATTTCTAGCAAAAATTCCATTTTCTGGGAATTATTTTTAAAGACTCGGGTAGAACTTTTGCTCCAAGAAATTCAGAGTTAGTTAGCAACTTGTAGATAGTTATTTTCTTTTCCCTTTCAATTTAGCAATAGTCCAACTTTAACACTCAAAGAAAAATACACAAGGTGTGGCTTCTTGTTAAAAAGGAAAAGGGATGAATTTCCCTTGGGTGAAGCAGACATTGTTCAGGAGCACTAGTCTCTATTCATTTTCTGTAATAAATAAAATCATGCTCATTTAAATAGAGGATTAAACACCAAAGTTGAACAAATTTTCTTTCCCTTTCTACGTCATCTCAGTTTTTTCCAAGGTGATCATCCTTACATTTCCCCACATCTGAACTCCCTGTTCTATACTTTTCCTCTCCTTTGGGTCCATGTTGTTGCTCTTCATGTTGTTTCACTTAGAGCCCTTCACTCATTGCTGGAATCAGATTACCTCCATGTGTCTATGGGCTTCTCTCTCCCAGATATGGATTGATATGACCCTCCTTTTCCAGTTATACAACATGCAGAATCACTTTGTTGAATTGTCTTTCATAAGTGAAACTTTGAGCCTAATAATGTTAAAACTGTTTTCTACTCTTGTTCATGAGCCCTGTATAATTACCTGTCCCTCCAAGAAACGACTAAGAAATCTCCTCCCTATTTGTTCCATAATTTCCTTCTTGGAAATCCAGACTCCACCTTCTGAACCAGGTGTCCTTGGTTATAAATTGAGGAGGGCAAATTGTATTTCTCTTGTATTTAGAGAGGAGGTGGCCTTGATGCTCAGCCCCATGCTAGGATTGCTGGAGCCTTCAGGCCAGTTTGTAGCCTGCTTGAT